CTCGGTCTCATCACGGCCAGCCCACAGGATTCCCAGCTGGTTCTGAAAGCACACAGGACCAACTCATGATCCCCCATCAGCTGATGAACTCCACACTGGGCTGATTGTAAAGACTGAAACCACAGCATGCGACCCAACACTACTATATTATGAGCTGTACGGAGCCACGTTTATGGAAAAATAGAGGGGAACGTTGTTTTTACCCTGACATGGATGAACAGAGACACATTCTCCGAGGACACCCTACATTTCTCCAGCATTTTCATGCAGTTCATTAGATGCTCCTGCCCGGCTGACAGCTCCTCCGTGTCCACATGGTTGACGCCCAGGTAGTACTCCACAGCCCCGAGCTTAGCTGCCCGCATCCCGGCTGGTGAGTCGCCGCTGAAACCCTGGCTGAACGCATCCTCCGTCTGGCCGTCCACCGGCTGGTCAGGGGGCCGTTGCTCGCAGTTCTCCCCGCCGACGTCCTCCTCTCCTTCCCCGGCCTCGAAGCTCTTCAGCGAGCAGTAGATTTCTCTCAGGAGCTCCCTGGCTTTGTATTTGGAGCGAAACGGATCGTTTTCTGGGTCATTTCGGGACTCTGTTTCGGTGAGACGTTGGGCGTTGGTGAATTTGTCGCAGATGGATCTCCACTCAACGCTGTTAATGGAAGCCATATTTGTTTTCTTCTCCGTCATGCGGCTACAGGATGGCAGTAAAATGCTTCGTTGGCATTTTACTGCCATCTAGTGGAATAATGTAGTCATGACTACCAAATAAGTCATTTTTTTAGTTGAACTGACAAAATTCAGAAATATTTCAGCTCATTTATATTCTAATGAAACTTAAAGACAAATTAACGATTTTTTTTAAACACATAGATTTAAGTTTTGTTAGTATTCAAAGATTTATTGCATACAGAGAAATGTTTTTCAAGCTAATTCAAATTGCATAAAAATAAATATCCCCAAAAATAGAATATATATATATATATATATATATATATATATATATATATAATTATAATATATAATTTACAATGGTAAATTATGTCAACACTTTTGAGAGAAGCTTGCCAATGTTCTAATTGTCTAATTGTCCAGCATCCTCCACTGGGAGGTTAATAAGCCTCGACTCTCAAGAAGTGTCACCACACACACATCAGAATTCAACACAAAAACTACAACTGACCACTTCTAAACCAAACAGAGTATTAAAAGCTGCATTTATCTTCACAGTGTGCGGTAAAAGAAGGCAACACCTGAAAACATTGTTTTTCCAGTCCACTTTATTCAAAACGTGTAAAGAATCCAAACAATCACTCGGAAAAAATCAGGAGAATCATACAAGAACCTTAAATTAATGTGAATTAGACGTGACTACAAGTGTGGTCAACACTTAACAGAATTTTATTTTGAACAATTTTACAGGATAATAATCTGAACAGCCTTAGCTTTTAAACAAAGCCGTATGTTTTTCATATTTACATCTGTTCATTTCAATATTCTCTAATTTGCACTTTTTGCCATAGAAGGTAAAATGATACCAAACTTGAACCATAATGACGGAATAATTTATTTTCTCATTTTGGCTCAGTAAGTTCTGCGCATCTAAGAAAGGTGACAATATGGAGGACAAAGTCTAAGTTTCTCCAGAATTACTGTCTGTGCATTTTTGCTCAATCTGACCTCCCATCTGTTTAAATATCCATGTTTGAAAAGGATACAGAGTAACAATATTTTTTTTCCAACAAAAATTAACTATGAGGGTTTATTTTATAAGCTGCTGCAGCCATAGGTCTGTGTGCGAGGCATCTGTCACCGTTAGTTCATTTAGGTTTTATTCCATGTAAAATCTAAAAATAACTGATCGAAACTACTGGAGAAAAGCTTAAGTATTTTATTATTTCTTTGTGTCTTAAAGTGAAGGTTGAATTGTGATCAATTATAGTACCATCCAGTCAAAAAGACAAAACTGGCAACAGCGTCGCTGATCTGCTGAAGGAGTTCTGGTGTCCAAATGTAGTTTGTTGACGCAGCATTCTGCATTATTGCACTGGTTTCACTTCACCACTAGGATGACTTCTTCTCCATGCTGAGATTAGAAAGAAAACAGAATTAAGTTACATCTGAATGCAGCTTTTCTCTTTACAAATATCATATTTACAGAATACATTCCTGTTAGTTTTATGTTGTTATCATTGCTTTTTGTCACATATTCCACTTAAAACTGGACAGTTATAATCTCAATTTCAATATGTGGAACTGCTAGACAGCTCTAGGAAAAAATTAGCAGACCACTGCAAAATGGTCAGTTTCTCTGATTTTACTCTTTATGGGTAAATGAATAAAATGAACATTATTCTTTTATTCTATGAACTACTGACAAAAGTCTCTGAAATTCCAAGCAAAAATTTAGTATTTGGAAAAAATGAGAAATTGTCAAAACGACGAAAAAGATGCAGTGCTTTCAAACCTCAAATAATGCAAAGAAAACAAATTCATATTCATTTAGAAACAACAAAACTAATGTTTTAACTCAGGAAGAGTTCAGAAACCAATATTCTGTGGAATAACCAGGAGGTTTTCAGTGGTCTCTTAATTATGTGGCAGGCTACAATATTTCTTCAAAAGACCTGATGTGTAAAGAATAATCTGAAATAACAGATACATGATTTTTTTATTATTGCCATGAAGAATAAGCAGAAAACAAAGACACATCATGACATTAAGGCCTTCAGTTAAAACACAAGAATCACTCAAAACAAGCATTACAACACCGGATTTAAATTAAACTGCTTCCTCGTCCTGCATTTCAAACTAGTGACAATAAATAAAATGCTGACAGAACATCAGTTAGATCTCACTTGTATTTGATGAGGCGACTTCCCTGGACCAGTTGTGCCGACTCGTTGGTCAGATGGCAGGCGAAGAGGAGCCAGTTACGAGGCTGAACCTTGTAGGCGAATCTCATGAAGAGCAGAGAGTAACAGCACAGAGCTGAGAGCAGAAAAACACGCAAACGTGGATTTATTAATGTACCTTCAGCTTATAAACTTCCCACTTTCCCAAATCCTCACATGTAAGTAACTGTGAAATAACACCGGAGCATCTTAATAAATCAACAGCAAAAGTCAGGCCATAATAACAACAGATTAAGTAAATCTGAATTCAAATAAAGAAGAAAACGTTTTCAAAAACTACACCTGAACTTGACACAAAAAATAGATTTTTTTTTTCTAAGTAAACCAATGACAGCCCCAACCCAAAACAAGATCAGATGCAAGAAAACAACAGCGTCTGTCCATGTGTTTGTATGTCTTACCAAAGGTCATCCTGCCGCTGATGATTTCAGGGCTCTTTTTCATGTCTGTGATGGCAGCGATGGGAAGACCCCAGTTTGCTACAGGGCCCCAGAAATGCTGGGAAAGTGACATTTAAATTATATTAAACAGGAGAACAAAACTGTAAGCACTGACTTATTCTGCAGTCTACACAAATATATAAAACAATAACTAGACAGAGAAACTCTGGACTTACCGTGCTGTCATACGTTTATGTTTTCATTTTTAGGTCCGACGTGGAAAAGAAAAAAAAGAAAGTTAAAACTTTACTGTCAGATCAGTTAGCGTTTCAGTTTCTAAGCTGTCAGATGTGAACCTGTTTTCTTACTTAAAGGTTTATTGTCATGCCCATTCAAGGCATCTTGAAAATGTGACACAAAGATGAACATTTTGTGTTTAAAAAGCAAACAAATGCAGCTTCTTGCATCACAATACTCTCACCTGACCTTTACTCTACATGTCAGGAATGAAGCAGGTTTGTGGAGGGTAAAACTCTGAGTACACTTGAATTTCCTTACAATAAGTTATTTCATATAGTAACAAAAGTAGTTCCTATGTAAAATCAGGTCAAAGAGAGGTTGGTGTGAACTTCAAGCACGACCCACATAAGTATTGTTTTTAGGACGCAAAGCAGTATTTTCCAATGACGGATTCACACATACCCTCAGCTATTTTGGAAGATATTTCTGAAGCAACTCAGTAAAGATCAATATACCATTTATTTATCAGCATCTAGTTTTACACAAATGGATATCCTACTATTAAAATAGTAATATATATAGGAATTATTAACTATCATAAACAGCAAGGAGCTGCAGATAGCAAGCGCCCTTGAGAGTTTAGCATACGACAACATAGAAAGCAGCAGCAAACACTAACATATGAGAGGTAAAGATATTATTTACTATTGTTAATGAGTAGATTTAGTTAATTTAAGTACATTTCAACCAGCCGGTACTTCTCAAAGAGTTCCCACAGTCAGTCAGATTGGTTAGCATTAATGCTAGCAGTAAATATTGAAGTGTGTTAAATACGAACCTCATCAAATAATCCCTGAACTCCTTACTCTTCAGGTGGTCGATGGCTTTGCGTGCAATTGTCCCCGCCATGGTTTAAAGTTAAAGGTTTTGTTTGTTTTCACGGAGAACTGGACTCTCCCTGACAGGACTGAAGGGCGACTGGAAACTGGAGAGCTGTGCAACCAGAGGACGACCGATAATATCCGGGGGTGTTGCGCCGAATTAGGTCCTTCCGCAAAAAAGAGACAACCCATTTTTCCATTATTACAAAATTACAAAAAAAAAAAAGTCTCTTATCTTGCTTTTTTAAAATTAATTTTGAAGAATTTGATTCCCATGTTATTATTGTTATGCTGAAGTTTGACGGGAGTGTTGGTCAGCTTAAATTGTCAAAAATGTTAATAAAGTTTTCTTTGTTTTAGCTAATTTTTAATTAGTTTATTTAATTGAGTGAAATCTCTTCATTTCTCTTTTTGTTGCTGTGTTTGTAGTTTTTGCTTGTTTTATCAAAACAGGTCCATCTTGTAAATTAAATCTTGGATGAGAAAACCTGTCTAAATAAAGGTCATATAAAAATTCAAATTAATAATTTTTAGATGAAAGATTTAATCATTTTGGGTTAAAAGAGATAAAAACTTGAAACTTGAACGCACCGTATGGTTAAAACGCAGCTATAAAAATGTTGAGTATAAGTGGGAAGTACATGTCAAGGGGAGAACCAAGCGAGATACAACACCGGCAAGCGCATGCGCAAAAGAGGAAAACCTAAATTCCCTTCCGGTTCACGGCTATTACTGCATGATGGCTGTGCGTGGTGAAAACGTGTCTCAGAATACCGAAGAAGATGCAGTTTGTCAGCTTGAGGACGACAACCAACAGAGCGATTCAGAGGGAGAAAGTATTAACGAAGACTCTGACGAAGGAGAAAACACAGACAGCCATGATGGCGAAGAAGCGGAGAGTGAAAAGGACGAAGATAACGACTCGGACGCCGTTGGTGGCTGGGCAGACGCCATGGCAAAAATCCTGGGGAAGAAAACTACCCCGAACAAGAGCAGCATCCTGGCTAATAAGAAAGCGGTGACGAAGAAAAAGGAGCTGCTGGAGAAGAAGAAAGAAGTGGACAAGAAGCGAAAGTGGGAAATGATGTTTCGAGAAAAACCTGACATCGTACAAGACCGTGAGCTTGAGAAAGCAATGCAGAGGACCGCCACCAGGGGGGTGGTGCAGCTCTTCAACGCCGTGAGGAAACACCAGAAAAACACGGGTGAAGCGCTGAAGGAGGTCGGTGGCTCTGAGAGAAAGAAGGCTAAGATTATATCCTCTATCTCAAAGAAAGACTTCATCGATGTGCTGAGGCGGACTGATGAAGGAAACAAGGTTTCTGTGAAGACGGAGAATCCTCCTCCTGTGTCTGAGCAGAAGCCTACGTGGAGCGTCCTGAGAGAGGACTTCATGATGGAAGCCAGCATGAAAGACTGGGACAAAAACAGTGACACGGAGGAGGCTGGTCCCCACAAATGAGGAAAGGAAGAGATATGAACTGAATCTTCCCATTTAGGACTGAATACTGAAGCTCCTGATGCCCTGAGAGACAAGCTAATGAAGGGAGACGCTCCCTTAGTCTGGATGAGAGTTTGGTTTCTTCTGTGTTTATAACCTAAGAGAACATAAACAGTCTGAAATCAGAATTTTCAAGATGCTCTGCTGCAAAATACGTGTGTATCATATTTTTGTTTTGATGGATGCAGCTGAAAACATATCGGATAAACTCAAAGAATTGCAAATTTTGTATTTTCAGTCTATTTTCTGTTTCCCTTTTTTAAAATAAAAGACAAAGTTGATTTTTAAAAAGTGTATGGAGCAGGTTTTTCATTCATGTTTAGTCATTCCAGGAGTTTAATAGTAGTTTGCTTTATCCACGACTCTGAATGTTGAAGTTTTGAGGTAGCCAGCCTCCATCATTATGTCTGTTTTATGGGATGTTTGGCACGGACTGCAAAAAATAAAATGCTTGATCAGATCTAAAGGCCTCAGCTTTAGTCCTCCAGACGTTATTCTGTATTTTTTCCAAAAAACTCCATCTCATGTAAAAACTTCACCATAATTTTCAATTTCTGGGCCTGCAAATTGCAATCAAGATTAAAGGTATTAATGTTTCAGAAGATGCCTCTGTTTTGACATTTTTAAGATTTCTGATAAGTTGTGCAATAAAAATATTTTTTTTATTGTTGCTGGTGTTTTTTTTAATTTACAATATTATGTGGGTTTTCCAGAAACTAATATGAGATTGGAGAGTAGAAGGTACTGATCTCAAGCACGACAGATAATCTAGAAGTGAATAAAAGTTTTCTACTTGACTGAGGAGAAAAGTGCAATAACAGGATGGCATTTATTGAGAGTTTTTGAATATTTAAAGTTAAATTTGATTTGTGTTCTTGGTTTTGTAATAGATTTGTGTTCATCTCTGCGCCGCCTGCAGCTGGAAACAACTTTGTGGCTAGAAAACTCAAACTCAAGTTTCCAATAAATATGTTTAATCAGTTATTTCATGATTTAACAAGTTGAGAAAATAACTTTTTACAGAAGACTAGGCTGGTTTGGTTTGCTCCATCTGAAAACTACTCTTTCAACTCATCTTTCTGACTATAACATTTGTTTGGTAATCTGAAACAAATTAAATTTGTAGCTGTATCTGTAAATCAATGATGGAGAGAGAGGACAGGGTTTGATGTGAACGTTTAAGGTTTTAACGGTAAATACTTGACGTGAACCAGTTTCTAATATAATTTATTACAGAAATGTAAAATAAAATGGTTCAAACATGGAAACCATTTATCATAGCTGCTAAGCTAATTCACCACTTACTGTACAATCTGTCACTTTGCATGTTAAATATTCACATTTATGGCACAATGAAGAAAAAATAACATGAGTATGATTTTCTTATTGTTTGGTTCGTTTTAACTGATTGGCTTGACGTTTAGTTTGTCTAATGTGAATTATGATCTTCATCCTATAGTGTGATTTGGACGCTTCAAAATGTGACGTAAAACAGCTTTAATGAGATTAATACATTTTAAGAGGCTGCAGTTTCTTTTTACTATCACTTTATATAACTAGCTAATGAACTATAAGTGTGAGACTGTTTGGTTGATTAAATATACCCACAGGTAAACAATAAATTGACAATTTAGGGATTATTTTAATCGGTATGAATTTACAACTTGGAGGATAATTTAAAGAATTTTGGAAAAATATTTCAGCTCAAAACATTCATTTATAGGATTCATTCTTCAGACACAAGAAATCATTCATGAAGTTACATTTTATTTTCCCTTTATTTTACCCATAAAACACTCTGATTGTAAAAACAAAGCAACATATGACAAAGACACCAAAAGTGAAGTTTCCAGAAAAATCTAATCTCCACACACATAAAAACCAATAAGCACACACAAACAGATATCTTAAACATAATTTTTCACTTCACCAAATTCATTTCAAAGTTAATATGGCATCTCTACTCTTCACTGTAACACACCGAATGTCTCTAAAATGTTTCACATTTTATTTTCTACTCTTAGTTTCATCTGTGATTATGAAGGTCTTCCTGTTTTTTAAACAGATTATTACCTTCATAAAAAATATTCCTGACAACCACAAAGGAGAGAGAATGAGTCTTACCACAATAAAAATAATGTTTCTGAAAGAAAACATCATCTTTAAAAGCTTTTTATCACTGTAATAATTAAATTAGACATTAAAAAGAGCATGTGGTCTTAACAGATACAAACAGAAAGTGTTAAAGAGGCAGTATTATATATATTACAGGCACATTATTCCATTTTATAGCGCGATGAAGTAACTATGTTACCTGCAGTTGTTAAAAGAAACATGACTAAAGAGAAACTTGACTTCACATTTTAATGCCTTAAAATTGGGTCTCTGTCTCTTTAAGAAGCTCTTGCTCCGCCTTTAGTAGTAAAACAAAACAATATTAACGTTTTTACCAACATTGCACTAATTAGCAACTAGTGTAATGAGCTCAGCAGATGCTCAGTTCCCCCAGGTGTTTGCCAATTGCTGCTGGCTAGTCTGCAGGAGCTGAGTGGAGGAGTTGTTGCATCTAAAATGGCCGCCAGGGGAAACTAAAGGATTTCTCAAACATGTGTGAAGGAACCAAAGCTATGTTTTTGGTGAGGGAATAACATTATGACATGTTGATTTTATATAACACTGCCTCTTTAAAACGATTTCTCAACAGGCACATGTGTGATAAAATAATGAGGTTGTCTTCCAGAGCTTTCTGAAGGGGGCAGTAGTGTGCATAATGAACTTAACAACCATGGCATGCAACGTTTCATGCACTGGTAGAGACGATTACAAGCCGTCATTTATTTATGTTTTATTTCTGTGGGAGAATCTGTAACACCAACGAGTAAAATAAAATAAAAATCTAATTGTTAATTTAAGGAATAATTCCCTTTTTAAGATGATTCAAAATGTAATTAACTCAGAGAAAACATTTTGCCAATAGGAATATCTTCTTATATAACATTTTAGAAAGTGGAAGCATAAAGTAAAAGATCTTTCATCAACGTTTTGTAAATAATGCTGATAAAATGTCTGGAGTCCTAAAACAGATGTGAACACCTGACAAATGTATAATCAATGACAATTTATTTTAAAGATACGGTGGCATGTTTTTAACCCAGTAAATCTACAGAAACACAAAACACTAACAGGTAGTGCAGGATGTGTTTTCACTGAAAGAAGATTTTAGAATTACATTTTGACCAGGGGAATCAAAAAGTGTGTGAACTTTAAGTGATGCTTTTAAATCTTAATATTTGATAATAACAATAATAATAATAATAAGACATTTTCAATTGTGTAAACAACATAAGCATTTCAGGTGTTGAACAATTACATTGTATAACGTATTTCATGTTTACATGATTTTTTATTTACCTCAAATTAACTAAACGTTCCTTCACATCTTTCCAGCAATTTCGGATTTTACAGAGAAAACTGTTTTTATTATTTTGTTGTTTTTTGTGTAAAAACAAAATAATAATAAAAAATATGCATACATTAAAACAAACAAAGCAAAACAAAGCCAACAAAACATAAGAAACTGTTTCCCTTCAAAGTTATTATGATAATAATTCACAAATTTAGAATCAAATTACAGTCAGTGGCTTTTAAAGTCATTCTAAATGTTTTCCCTTTTTGGGTTTCATCTGGATTTAAAGTCAATAACAGGAAAGAAAAATCCACACATTGAGGATATAATAACAAAAATGTAAATACAAATAGTAAATAAATTGTAAACAGTATATAGACATAGCAGCAAGAGTTTCTGATGCCAACAGTTTTACCTTTTGTGCCCAAAACAACAAAATATAAAGCTGCAACTCTGAAAATTTGAATATTATGAACAAGTTTAATATTTTCTTTCTCTCATTTCAGAAAGTGAAACAGTCACACATTACACAGATTTATTACAGAGTGAAATACATAAAATCTCCATTTCTTGTAATTTTGATGATTATTGCTACAGATATTAGAATATCACCCAATACAACTTTTAAAAAAATTATTTTTAACGTATAAATGTAATAATCACATTTTCTAAGACACTTAATTTTGGTATTTTCAATCATTTGTAAGTTATAATTATCAAAATTACAAAGAAGTAAAGGATTTAAATATGTCACTCTGTGTGTAATGAATCTTTATTACAGCAGTTTCATTTTCCGAAATAAGTGACAAAAAGCAGAGCGTTTTCAAAATATTCAAATTTTCTTACCCATATATAAAAACACCAACACCAGAGTCTCAACCTCCCACTGTGTCCCATGGCTCACAGCCAGGGGTTCAACATGTAACTTTTGTGATTCAAGCCTTTGATTGTTGTTAAAGAATGTCAGAAGGACTCATGCCGATGCTCTGCTTGGGCTGCTCAACAACCAGGTGACGTTCCTAAACAGTTTTAGGAACGTCTTCTTGCAGCCTGGTTACGATGCAAAAACATAAAATCCTGCTGGCAGATTGTCACAAAATAGGCTATGAGTAGATTTTAGAAAAATAAGTTAAGTTGTTGGTAATCAAAGCGGGTTGGTACGAATTGACTCATATCCAGTAATGAATATCCCCGGACAGACGTGTAAAAAACCCCCAAAACTGCAAAGATGCAAAATGAGCAGAACCTGCGTCCAGCTTCTGAAGTTTGAGGATCAGTGTCCACCATTTGGACGAACTTCTTCGTAGTTCTTGACCAACTGGGAGATCCTTACGACTTTAATGTCAGGCGTTACCTTATCATAGTCAGACCACAGGTATTCTGGAGACAGCACCTTGGCCGGTTTGTTGGTCAACAGGTACCTGCAGTGAAGAGGGACAGACAAATATGCAGTGCAAGTATTTTTCTGTTTTAGATATTTTAGTTCAGTGTTGTGTCATTTTGTACCTGTTGAGATGACTCTCCTCCTGCCAAACGGCTTCAATCTTGTTTTTGGCGTCTACCTCTGACATTTCATAACAGTACCTGGCAAAAGAGCAGAAATCAAATCCGGCTGCAAAAACTTTAACACTGCAGCAAACAAAAACATGACATCTAAGTTTGCATTAAAAACAATGAAAAACATTGTTAATACGGAAATGTAAAATGTTAAAGGTGTCTATGTTCAAAAGGTACTTTTAACCTGAATGATAAGCCTCGCTCTAGTTATTAATAAAACTGTTCATTATGTGTCTCTGGGCAAATAATAATTGTTTTCACATAATGAACAAGTTTTGAGCTTACTTTTTTGTCAACCTTATAATATGAACATATTTCCTGAATAAATGTGAGAGAATATCAAATTTATGAATGAAGATTACTGGAAATGTTTTTGTGTCATTTTTCAGAAGTACCTATACACTGTAAAACATTTCAGCCACATTTAGTTGTGTCAACTACCTTCTAAAGTTTAAGTCAAATAAATTTAGCGAGTTTCAGATTTTGAGCCTAAATGTGTGAATTTGTGGAAGATAAACTTAAGTAGTAAGTTGTGTTAACTGTTTATTAAGAGTTGAATAAAGTAGAGTTTTTACGTTGACACTTAAAAAACTGAAAGAAGAAAACGTTCTGGGAACTATTTCCCAGAATCCTTAGCGGCTTGTTTCTGTATCCTGAGATGGAAGTGCGTTACTTGGGTTTTATTTAGGCAAATGTTTATTTTAAATCTTGAGGATAATGTTCTGTTCGCACTAAATGTTTCTGAGCTGAATTCATTCTGATGTTTAATAAAATTCATGATCAGATCTGAAATTTTGTTCATGCAAATTTGAAACAAGAGTTTAAATTATTCAAAAGTAAAATAATCTGATAACATAGAAATGTGAGGACAGTTTTTATTTGCATGTTGTGAAATAATTATTTGGTGTAAATTGCAGCATTAAGTTAAAACTCACAATTCAAGATTAATGAACTTAAAAAACAATGTTTAGACAACTTGTCTCTTGTTAAATCAACTTCATGTTGACTTCAATTGCATTTTCAAGGCAGCAGGTGGAGTTTTATTTTCAAGTTAAAACACCTTCAAATGTTTTACAGTGTATTATGAAGCAGCTAGAATTAGGTAAGCTATTTTTATTTTATTTCTGAAACAAACTAGTTTGTCCAGCGTTTAGATGTGTAGGCATTTTGTGAAGGTACATGTTGGAAATATTATGTGTTGTTATCATTCTTACATGAAGGGGCAATGTGCTGCCTTTTGTTTAGTTTAGCTGGACCAGCAAGGTTTTGAACTAGAGCACCCCCTGGTGGATATTTTTGTTATGTTGCCTTTGTGATGCTAAAAGAAAACATAGATCCAAGATGGTGGAATGCGACACCAAACAGCTCGTGGAGTAGCTGACTATTGTCTTTATTCGTTGTGTTTCCGACAAGATTTGTTCGTAAGTGCTTGTTAATTGTGAAAATAACTGTCTCTTGTTTCATGTAACGCTGGTGTAAGTAATTTGTATACTTTAGTCGTTTAAGAAAATGTTGTTTTAAGCTCGCAGTAAGAATGGCTATTTTGCTATGTTAGCTAACATTACGCCTTGTATGTTGCAGTTTACGATGGCCAAAGTGATGGTAGTGGTCAGAGGCCACTCTTCAATAAACAACTAAAAAGAAAGAAAGAAGTTTGGTTATTGGAGCGTCGTTGTCTGGCTGTCTAGCGGCTGAAAAGATTGAAAACTCAGGGCGAGGACAGCACAGTAACATCAAATAAGGCAT